AGTTGAAAGTTTGCTCTTGGGATTTTCCACAACAGTTATGCTTGTTTTCACACTTTCAACATTAGAACCATACTGTGTCCAGCACTAATCTTTTCAAAGTGCAGTGATTTGAATAGAATGCTTGCAAAGTGTTCATTAATCAGATTAAAAATATCCATTCAAATAACTTGTGTTCATTATATTAGTAAGTAGAATTTGTTTTCGTAAGACCTATGCTGTGCTTACCCAGTCTGGTGCCAGCTAAATGTGTCAGCCTTCAACTCCCAGAAATCCTGGTCAGAGCCATGAGCTGACATGTAATACATGATTGTTTGAGGTACTGCCTAGTTTCCATAGTTTCTGCTCATTCAGTAAGATCAGATAGAATGATCCACTTAATTAAGCAATGCCATTTATTGGGATGTAGGAAGGGTGCGTTCTCTGTAGTGGTGCTTGCCTTCCGGAATAGTATCTATCCAGAACTCTGCACAGCTCCCACCCTAAAAATGTTCTGAAAGTCTTTGAAAACTTGGCTGTTTTCCCAGGCTTTGGGTGGGTGGCTGTTAAGCCTGTAAATTTTGTTGTTGTTTTTGTTTGGTTGCTTTGTTTGGTTTCTCTTTTCTTCTGGATGCCTATGGCCTGTTTATCAAGTATTACTGTTCTTGCTTTTAAAGTATAAGCAGCCCAGAGACATCTGTAGTCCGTTGGCCTCTAAAATTAAATAAACAAAAAGTTATTTCAAAGCAAGGGTGAAATGCTCCCGGTTCGGACCGGATCACCTGATCCGGTAGCAATGGAGGCGGGTGGTTCGGAGAACCGGTAGCAAAAATCCCTGCCCCCCCCACAATGCCCAGCTGAGCCGCGCAATCATCAGAGGCTTTTTTTTCTTTTAAATTCTTTTTTAAAAAAAGCCTCTGCCAATCAGGCAACTCAGCTTGGATTGTCAGAGGCATTTAAAAGAAAAAAGCCTCTGATGATAAGGAACTCAACTTGGATCATCAGAGGCATTTGCCTGAGTTGCCTGATTGTCAAGCTGAGTTTGACGATCCAAGCTGACATCCAAGCTGATGATCCAAGATGATGCCTGACAATCCAAGCTGAATTGCCTGATTGGCAGAGGCATTTAAAAGAAAAAAAAGCCTCTGACGATCAGGCAATTCAGCTGGGATCGTCAGAGCCTTTTGAAAGCATTTTTTTACAACCTCTTCGGCGAAGAGGTTGTAAAAAAAAAATGGTTTTAAAAGTTTTTTAAAAAATTGGCCACGCCCACCCAGTCACATTACCCCCCACCAAGCCACACCCACAGAACCACTAGTAACAAATTTTAGATTTCACCATTGTTTCAAAGACTTTATGAACTTCAAATGTATTTTAAACATAAGAAGAAAAATGGGTATTTTCTATTTTGGAAACCTTGAGAATTGTATTGGCTCTCCCATTCTAAAATCCAATCATGATAACCTATATTTAGTAAAAGAATAATCCCTTTGAAAGCAGTGTTACTCATTCTAGTATCTAGGTCTAAGCACAATGGAGTCATATTTGTGCAATTTTTTAATAACAGGCCAATTCCTGTTCATTTGTTTCTTCACAAGGTATAACTTGTACACCCCTCAGAGCCTTTGGAGGAAGATAGTTTATAATTTAATAAACAAGCAACCAATTTTTGAAACTTTTAAAAAGAATTTTAGAAAAGAATAAAAGACACTTCAAGCATCTTATTTTTTGATCATTGTTATTATATTGTTTCAAGTTGAAATAAACTCAGTGATCATTTTAATACAGGAAATAATTTAAACACTTTATTCCAATTTAAACACTTGTTCTTTATTCTATTTAAACACTTTATTCATCTGCTGTGTTCTTAGTCAGAAAATCCAGTTTTAGAAAATAAGTGGAAATGCTATGTATAGATTTGATGAATGTTACTATATTAACCAAGTTACACACAATCACAAATAAACTATATTTGTAGTTATTAGAATTATATAAAAATGGTATACCAAAACATGCTAAAATTTTATTATTTAAGCAGTTGATAACTTTCATTCCCTGCTACAGATAGTTACAGACAAAAAAATATATATGCAGCATTGCAAAAAACATTGGCATATTTCTTTGTATCAGGACTCAGGACATGAATCTGAATTGGGTCTCAAAGGACCATAACAGTGCATATCCATGGAACATATACTGAGAATATGCATATCTGAATTGTTGTCTCCTATTCTCTGTTACACATGATCATGCTTTAGCAATTTCTGTAATTAATAGAAAAATAATGAAGAATTTGCTTAACCTTGAATGTCTATGGAGATTCTCAATCATCCAGGTCATGGTTGTTCCAAAGTTGTTTTGCTAAAAGCAACTGGACTTTTTTTTCTTGTTGCTTGAAGAAGTTTCATTTCTCATCCAAGAACATGAAGCTTCTTGGTTGAGAATCGAAACATTTTCGAGGGAACAAAACAAAATCCAGTTGCCTTTTAGAAGAGCACCTTTGGGATTTAACCTTGAATATACATGAAAAGACAATTCCTTTTTTCTGATGAACAGAGCACATTTAAAAAGCAATATCACTTAGACTTATATACTGCTTCACACACAGTGCTTTTACAGCCCTCTCTAAACAGTTTACAGAGTTAGCATATTGCCCCCCAGCAATCTCGGCCCTTATTTTACTCACCTCAGAAGGATGAGTCAACCTTGAGGCAGTGAGATTTGAACTGCCGAACTGCAGTCAGCAGAAGTAGCCTGCATTCTAACCACTGCGCCACCACGGCTCTTATTAGCGTTATGAAATGATTCTAACACTAGAAGTTTTTACTTTCTGCCGAGGTATCAAACAGTATATTAGAAGAAAGAGGAAATACTGAAGCCCAGGTATAAAGGTACAGCTATGGAAAAGAATGAAAAGCGATATGGAATAGCATTTTCAATAATAATGTCTAGTTGGATAGAACATTGTCTAACATACATATTTGCTAAAATCCAAACAGAGCAAGAAGCCCAAGCTTAACATACAAATAGAGACTGGAAAGAATTACATGGCTTCCAAGCATAGCCTGAATAGAGTCAAAATATGAACCTTCACCATAAAAACATGTGGGCATTAATCACAAGGCCTCTCTATTTTAAACATGAGGTATGTGGCCTGGCAATCTGCCAAGACCAGACAGGAAAGATGACCAGATTTAGAACTAATTTTACTTTATAGTAAGGCTACATTAAAAGAATCTGGGAAAGTCTGAAAGTACAAATCTCCCACTGTCTCCTTTACAGTCTGAGAAGTTAGGAGAGGTCCATTCTGAACATCTTTCTCTGCCCACTATGCATCTGTGGGCCTCTCTACATTCCTCTACATTCTCTCTACACTCTCTACATTCTTTAGGCAGCATTTCTTTCTCCTGTCTCTCAAGCCTTTTCTCACATACCAGTAAACAATCACAAGGAAAACAAAACTTTTACAGATCTCTGAATCCTAATCATTAGCATAAAAAAATAGGTTAAGAAACAAAAAGGTAAAACATATCTTATATCAAGGCAAAAGACAGAGATAACATTGAACAAAAAAAGAAAGCAAGTCACCTAACAAAGATGGAAAACTCTGAACTAATCTAAGGGTGTGGGGGGGGGGAACCAAGTTCACACAGAAAAGCCAAAGTGGAAGCAAATAAACAGCAGTCATGTTCATGAGAAGCTAGGCCATAACTCAAAATTTGAAGATGGAGTTTCTGAAACTATAATATCTCTGATATTATAGATATATCTCTATATCTCCAATTCTGATCAGGTAATATATTTGCATGAGTGAAGAGCGAGCAAGTATAGATTTCTCTCATATTCTCATCCCAGTGAACAATTATTCTAAATAAAAACAAAACAAAGCTGAAGTTGTTGACATAATCAAAAATAGAAAGTTAAATTTTCTCCATCTTTTCTCACAGAATCTGTTGCAACTAAATGTGAGATACTTTGCATTACTAGATTTTGTAAGGCAATATGTGAATAATATTTTTAAGAGTGTTGTGTTCTTACTTCCAGGGCTTTGAGCTCATTTGTTAATTTATCATGAAAGCCACTTGAGATCGATGGAAGAATATTCTGTAAAGCTTACCACGTTGTATTTTATTTCAAAGTCCAACCATCTGCAGTCAAATATAGCATAGCATAGCATAGCACAACACAACATAATAAAGTACAAATTTATTACAGTAACAGTTCAAAATTATCTTTGTGTCTGCTGATTTAATTATGAACCCCAAAGCTACTCATTGTTAAATCAGAGGTTAACAACGTATTTAGCAACATGTGGGTTCCCAGTAAGTCACAAGGATTAGGAATCCTGTAACTGGATTGTAACGTGGATGAATACTAGAGGAACATTTAAGAGTTCCTAGTTAAGACAGTGGACAATAAAAATAGTCTGGAATGAATTTTGTAGAAAACATAAAATGGGTTTAACTTGAAATAATTAAAGAAAAAACAGAAAATGAGGAAAGTCAAAAGATAAGGGGAAAATAGCAGATAATAAAATAAGGAAAAAAGAATCAATAGAAGAGGAACAAACTAGAGATAAAAGTTTAAATTAAAACAGGATGAAAACAAAGGGGGAGTAGAAAAACTGGGAAAGGCATTTAACATATATAAACAACAGTGTTTCAATTAAAATATAGAAAAGATGATAATCTATGTTTCAGGGATTGCAGAAAAAAAACTGCTCCTAAAGAGATTTTTCCCACGGGATAGCACAAGCATGTATCAAGGAAGTTGTATGAAGTATCTACCCCCTTGACCATTCCTTTCCTGCATTCATCACAAAAAAAAAAAAAAAATTGCCTGCACAAATGGCAGGCCATGTAATAAACCTTCTTTTACATTATATAACTTCAAGTTGCAAGTCTTTGGCCTGTGAACACATATATGATGTCTGAAAGATTTCCTTTGGAGAGAACCTGTAGTAAAGATAACATTCTTTTCTTCCGCTGTCATCTTTGTACACAGGTAAAGACAGTGTGAAAAGGGAATTTATTCCCTCCTTAGCAATATAGAGCAATATAATCCAGAAAGAAGTTTTCATTGGGTATTCTACTTCTTATGCAACCTACTTTTGAAGGTAAGGAATGCTGCGTATAGTACAGTTCTGACTGATAGTACCATTCTTTTCATATTCAAACTGAAGTACATGTCATTTGGTCCAGTGGAATTTACTGTCTGCAGAGTGAGTTTTTGTCTGAAAAATAGTTGTTCCATACTGCATGTCTAGTTTGGGCCTTTTAACCACACCAATAAATTTCATTTGATTTCATTTGTAGCATATTCTGTTTTTCCCTTTCTTATGGTTGCCTGAATCTGCTGACAATGAAGCACAAGCAAAATAATGTAATATGTCAGCATTTTAATAATACAAAATAACAATTTCCCAAAATATAAAGTAATAAACTTTAGTTATATAATGAAATGGTTTGGTTTCTGCTTTCTTTCCTTGAAGAAATATGTTGTTTTTCAGGTCTACTGTTAGCAAGAGATGATATCCTTAGAGTGATAAAGCTGGGGTGTGAACCAACAAGGGAATTCCAGGTCTGATGACAGGAAACAAACAGAAAAGGAAAGTGGTAGCTTTGTATGAAATAGACAGGACGTAACAATGAGAGCAGGGGAGCTAGCAGGAAGGAAAGAAAGAGATGGGGGCAAGGCCTGGGACAGAATTGGATAAAGCCACTCGGTGTGTGGATGTTGTGTCATCATTTACATGAACTCTTGGATTCTCTTAAGGAGGAAATCTAGAAGAATGTTTTATCATGTCATAGATTATTATCTTTGACCTTAATAAGAGGGAAGTATTTGAATCCCTATGATGTGGAGTTCCTTTGACCAGTCTAGGAATCCCTGAGAAGATGATATGACTTGTTGGTCTATCTTAACGATGTTTTAGCTTAGAGCAGGAATCCTCCAATCATCCTAAACAACGCTGTCCAATATTTGCTTTAAAATCTCCAATGTTTTCAGGATGAATGCTTCTCACTACCTAATAACATGTACTGTCAGGAAACACCTCCCCCCCCAACTTTTGGACTATTTGTAAAACTTCCAGCCATTGGCTTGGGTTCTGTCCTCAGACACTATGGAGAAAAATCCCTATCCTCTTCTCTGGGACAACCTTTCAAGTACTGCAAAACTCTATCATGTGTAGCCTTCTTTAGGCTTTGTTGTTATTAGTTGCGAAGTCATGTCTGACTCACTGCAACCCCATGGACAACATTCCTCCAGGCCTTCCCGTCCTCTCCCATCCTCTGGAGTCCATTTAAGCTCACACCTACTGCTTCAGTGACTCCATCCAGCCACCTTGTTCTCTGTCGTCCCCTTCTTTTTTTACCCTCAATCTTTCCCAGCATTAGGCTCTTCTCCAGTGAGTCCTTCCTTCTCATTAGGTGGCTAAAGTATTTAACTTTCATCTTCAGGATCTGGCCTTCCAAAGAGCAGTCAGGGTTGATCTCCTCTAGGATTGACCGGTTTGATTGCCTTGCAGTCCAAGGGACTCGCAGGAGTCTTTGCCAACACCAGAGTTCAAAGGATTTTCTTTAGGCTAAACATTCCAAATTTCTTTAATTGTCCATCATAAGATTTGCCTCCACGCCTCTTGTCATCTTTGATGCTTTTCTCTACACTCTTTCCAATTCTTCACAATCCTAAAATCCTAGCACACTACCAAGAATCCCCCAAGCTACCTTGAAGCATTGTTTGAACAGACAGTGAGTGTGATATAGTTATGAGGATGTGTTGGTGGACTTTTGTGAGCTATGAGGCTGGAAATGCATAGGAACAGGATATTAAATATTGTATTAAAGTAATATATTTTCATTCTTGCTTTCCAATGAATTTCAAGAGATGGAAAGAAGAGACAAATGTTTGCTTGTGTTCTGAGCTCTATACCAACTAGAGAGCATTTATTTTCTGCTGACCTTATGACTGTAATTTCTCTTCTGCTTTTTTCCCTTTTAGTTCTGTGTTATTATTGAATATTGTATTGATTTAAAAATTTTACATAACCTTGAAATTTGCTTGGAGAAATAAGGACAATGACTTAAGGAAGGTTTTTCTATTTTGCAACTTTTGGTTGATTGTAAAATTGTAAAATGTGCTTCCCCTTTAACAATAAATGAATTTTAATGCTGAATCATTAAATAAATTTAAGCATTAAATTAAGCATGTTTTTTTTAATTGGAGCCTTTCAGGGTCTGTTTATTTCAATCCTTTATAAATATTAAAAAAATATATTTTAAAACTGGTTGCCATTAATTTCTGATTATATTTATTTTATTTTATATTGGATTTCTATTTTATATTGGATTTCTATACCGCCCTTCTCCCTAAGGACTCAGGGCGGTGTACAGCCAGATTAAAAAAACATGCAGAACAAATATTAAAAACAATTAAAAGATATATAAATTTGGCCCAATTAAAACTCATTTACCAATTAAAAACGTTTAAAACATTTAAAAACAGTTAAAAATTTCATCTTAAGCCAGCCCGGCTTGTTTAAATAAATGGGTTTTAAGGGCGCGACGGAAGGCACTGAGGTCTTGGATTCTCCTTATCTCTGGGGGGAGCTGATTCCAGAGGGTGGGTGCCCCCACAGAGAAGGCCCTCCCCCTGGGGGTCACCAGCCTGCATTGTTTGGCTGATGGCACCCCGAGGAGGCCCTCTCTGTGGGAGCGCACGGGTCGCTGGGAGGTCGTCGGTAGCAGCAGGCGGTCTCGCAGATAGCTAGGCCCTATGCCATGGAGCGCTTTAAAGGTGATAACCAACACCTTGAAGCGCACCCGGAAGACAACTGGGAGCCAGTGCAGCTCGCGCAGGAGCGGTGTTACATGGGAGCGCCATGCTGCTCCCGTCACTACCCGCGCTGCTGCGTTCTGGACCAGCTGGAGCCTCCGGGTGCTCCTCAAGGGGAGCCCCATGTAGAGAGCGTTGCAATAGTCAAGGCGAGAGGTGACGAGGGCGTGAGTGACTGTGCACAGGGAATCCCGATCAAGAAAGGGCCGCAACTGGCGAATCAGGCGAACCTGACAAAAGGTCCCCCTGGTTACAGCCGTCAGATGTTCCTCCAAGGACAGCTGCATATCCAGGAGGACTCCCAGATTGCGAGCCCTCTCTGTGGGGGCCAATGACTCGCCCCCAATAGTCAGTGATGGAGTCAACTGACTATATCGGGATGCCGGGAGCCACAGCCACTCAGTCTTGGAAGGGTTGAGCTTGAGCCTGTTCCTCCCCATCCAGACCCGTACAGCCTCCAGGCACTGGGACATCACTTCAAGGGCATCGTTGGGGTGGCCTGGGGTGGAAATGTACAGCTGGGTGTCATCAGCGTACTGGTGGTATCTCACCCCAAAGCCACGGATGATCTCACCCAGCGGCTTCACATAAATGTTGAACAGAAGGGGCGAGAGGACCGATCCCTGCGGCACTCCACAAATGAGAGGCCTCGAGGTCGACCTCTGCCCCCCTGCCAACACAAACTGCGACCGGTCGGAGAGAAAGGAGGAGAACCACCGCAACACGGTGCCTCCCACCCCCAACTCTTCCAGCCGGTGCAGCATGATACCATGGTCGATGGTATCAAAAGCCGCTGAGAGGTCTAACAGGACCAGAACAGAGGAACAACCCCTGTCCCGAGCCCTCCAGAGATCATCAACCAACGCGACCAATGCCGTTTCTGTGCTGTGCCCAGACCTGAAACCCGACTGGAACGGATCTAGATAAGATGTTTCCTCCAGGAATTGCGGAAACTGTCGTGCGACCACACTCTCAACAACCTTCGCCATAAAGCGAAGGTTGGAGACAGGACGATAGTTGGCCAATATTGCCGGATCCAGGGACGGCTTCTTGAGGAGAGGCCTCACCACCGCCTCTTTCAAGGCGGTGGGGAAGTAACCCTCACTCAACGAAGCGTTGATAACACCCTGGAGCCAGCCTCGTGTAACCTCCCGGGAAGCCAGTACCAACCAGGAGGGACACGGGTCCAGTAAACATGTGGCCGCACTAAGTCTCCCCAAAATATTGAATGTCGCTTTGATTTTGAATTTATTCTGAATTTTTAAAAATCCATTTTTGTCATTTTTTTCTGAACAACAGACAAATGCCACATCTAGATAAATCCCAGCTCTCTACATTTTTCAAGCTAATTAGTCTAACTTGATTTAAACACAGTACATTTTTTGAATATGAATAGTGGATAACTTGTTTACATAATGAAATATATCTACTTGGAAAACTGAGAATTCCAGGGATACAAAAATGGTGAGACTTCCATCTTCAGTGGGAATCTGACCAGTTTATTTTATGACTGGGTAATAGGCAGTATCATATAAATGGAACTGGCAGAGTAAAGTTTTGAGATGACAACATGACAATAGCTGCTGCAGACAAGCCAGATTGCTTAAAATTCTACCACAAAAATGATTACTCATTATGGAAATGTTTCATCAAACATAACATAAATTGGACATACAACATATTAATAGCAAATTTTGTTTACACATTTTATCTCTATTATCTATGCCCATAAGAGCAATTCAATCAATTTTTCACTAAGTACTTTTCAAAATATAATTACTCTTATGGGCAGATCTATGAACAGCCGCACTATCTACACTATAGTTCACTAATTGCACTTCTGAGCCATTATAATGAATTATTCTTCTACGTTCCTTAAGAAGATCAGTTAAAGCTAATCACTTCCATCACATACATCACTTCTAAGAAATCAATCTATAGCAGCCTTTTCATTTACAGCTTCATTTCTTTTTAATTTTCTAGCATTCCGGGATATGGCAATAAATACATATATCATAATCTGTTAGCATCATAGATTTAGTACTGTAAGTCAGAAGCATAGCATGCGTTGATTAGTTTATGAAACCTTTGAGGCATGTTTCTCTCTATATTCTCATTTATTCCTAGAACTGGACTGTGGAAAGGATTAAAAAAGATGCTTTGCAAAGTGTATTAGTATGAAGGAAACATTCAAGTATTTATGACTTTTGCAGAGCTCTTGCCCCATCTTGGTTATTTGCACATGTTCTGTGCATGTACAAGCAACACTTCTGCAAGGAGCAAGGTGGCTGTGCATATGTGAGTTTTGCAAGAGACACAGCTGCAATGAGTATAAATCCTTCCATTCCCCACCATCCGGTCAGAGCTGAAAAAGCTTCTTAGATGAGAAGCGAAACATCTTCAGAGAAAAACCAGAAAGTCCAGTTCCGTCTTGAAAAAGCACCTTTGGGACAACCATGACCTGGATGATTGAGAATCTCCATAGACATTAAGAGACACAGCTGTTTTGATGCTTTAGAGGTAGGCAGTTTGGAAAGCAATTCTTTCCCAAGCTTTGCAAAGTCCTAATGCAATTGAAGTACAGTGTGGATTGGGATGAAAGAAGTATGTTAAAAGTGAGAGCTAGCAGAATAATTCTTCACTACACAAATGAATCTAAAGCACGGGCTTTTAAATCACATTATCTTTTAAAGAAAGATTGCCTGGATGCTTTGTGCCCCTACAGGATGTATACTTAAGAACATTTCTCTTTTTGTTTGGAAAAGGAATAATTAGTACTTTATTCTAATTATTTGGGGTCCCTGAGCCAATAGATAAAAGTTTTACAAAGAAACAGTTTTGGGGAGTTATTATATCAGGGTCTTCAGCAAATCCTTATTCTTCCCAAATATAATTCTATCAAAGTTTTCTTTAGCAAGATTTATTGAGTAGCATACATTGTGGTTATAAGAATTTTAGAATCTGAACTCTTTCCCCTTAGAAACCAATTTATTCCCTTGTAAATTAGCATGCAGACTTTGTGATTTTCTTTGTAAAAGCTTTCATAAGATGAGATAAAGAAGCTTGTCTTTTCATAATGATCTTCTGCATCTTTATCATTTGCCTTGTATTTTCCTGTTGAATGTTGTGTAGTTTAGTGCAGAAAGGAGAGATCAAGGGCATCAATGAGAAAAAAAAAGAGTCAAGGCCTTAGAGTCACATTGAAGACATCTTTTTCCAAGGATCTTCCAAAACCAGCCTTGCATATAATGACAGATGAATGGACACAATAGTGTAAGTGTATCATAACATTAAGATGCGGTTTCAAAATGTTTGAAAAGTCATGTTAAAATAATATATTTGCTATTGAAGACTTACCTTGTTGTGAAAACCTGAGGTCAAAGGAAAGTAAAGAATATTTGAATAAACTACATTAGCATACTCTTCAAAAGAGACAATAAAAAAGCTAAGAAGGAAGCAAAAAAGACCAGAACATATCTTCTCCTGCAGCTAGCACCCAGATAAGCAGGAATTTACACCAGGGATCAATCAAGCAGAAAACAAGAATCCTAATTAAGGAATTACCAAGGAGAAAACCACACCCCCACCAATACTGGGAGGGCAAGCTACTGTATAAAAATAGGGAGCAAACAACACACTCATTGGCAGTGATTATATTACCTACTTGGGTAATGAAATGTTTGCAAGCAAAGAATCAAGGTCTCCAAAGTTCAACCCCAAGCTAAATGTACTCTCTTATATTGGAGTCATTTTACACATGTGTATGTATCCTTGACTCAGATCTTTAAGACTTGGAGATAGACATGGTTGGCAAATGCTAATCCAAATTTATTTACATTATTTTATAATTTCATATAAAATATTTGGTTCCATCTCAACTTTGTCCCTTCCTTTACTTTTTCTTTTCTAAATTACGAGCTATTACTAGTTCACCATTCTCATATTCTCCTTACTGCTCAGAATTATCACTGTGATTCAGAAAGGAGTCTCTATCCGATGGTCCACTAATTGGCTTTATTTATTACTTTCAACCTTGCTTATGTTTCATGCAAACTGTCAAGTTTTATCAACAAATCTTTCTTTTTCACCTTCTCATTGTTTCTCTTTCTTATTGGTTTGATTAGTGAACTTTTCAGGAAACCTTCCACCCTCGGTGAAATTAAAAATGTTCTGCTTGGCTGCTGGATGAATTATTTCAGCAAGGTGCTAAAAATGTCAGGTTATGGGTATTGCAAGTTGTGGTTGTTGTTTTTAATTGCCAATCTTTATTGGTGTGTGGCAGCTTGATTAAGAATGAAAAACATATTACTCCAGTGAAATAGTATTGCTAGTCTTCCTGTATCTTGCTTTTAAAATTTGAAAGTTGAATAAGATAATTGCTTGCTGCAACTTTTATTAAAGTTACCAGAAGTTGCTACCATATGATACTGCATTAACCATAACTTCTAATTACAGTTTTAACGTAAGTCGCTTTTACTATTGCCATATAGAAATTCAATAGATGGCTCATAGGTTTGCAACTGCCATTGGAGGATATTGATAAAAGGAACCAAATCGAAATATACATTGGGAAACTATTTCCAGAAAATAACATAATGCTTAATGAATGCTTAATTGTACAACTCAGGTTAAATGGGCTTAGCTAGTTTTACTAATAAATACATGAATAAATATATTAATGCCACCCAAATAGATACAGTCATTTCAAAGGCTATAAACTGATGCTGACTGTGGTCAAATCTTTGGCATTAGGAGGCCTCCTTCTAATTTTTTCTAGTGATTGTGTGAAAGATACTTTGTGTGAATGAGAATGAAGAAGAAATTGATTAATCAGGGTTCAATCATGCAAAGAAATGCTACACACACATACAAATCTGATACAATATATTTGTTCATTTTTTTGCAACCAGGAACTACAAAATAAGGATTCTTGGACTTGCAAATGGCTTATGGAGAAATTACTTGCCCAATCTCTTTCTATTGCTTTTTCATCTAGAGCAGGGCTGTCAAACTTACGGCATCACGGCAACGTCACATGACATATCGGGACTTTTTTCCCCCTTTGCTAAATTAGGCATGGGCGTGGCCAGCACGTGACACATCTGGCCCATGGGCCATGAGTTTAACAGCCCTGATCTAGAGCAAACTTTTGTTTATATGCAGTTGAATTCTGTAGAGGTGGTCCTCAACTTATAACAGTTAATTTAGTGATCGTTCAAAGTTACAACAGGAAAAAAGGGATTTATAACCATGTTTCACACTTATGACGGTTGCAACAGTCCCATGGTCACATGGACAAAATTCAGATGCTTGGGAACTGACTCATATTTATGACCGCTGTTGTGTCCCAAGGTCACGTGATCACCTTCTGTAACCTTCTGACAAGCAAATTCAATGGGAAAGCCACATTCACTTAATAACTGTCTTACTAACTTAACAAATTCAGTGATTCACTTAACAATTGTGGCAGAAAAGAAAATGTAAATGAAATGAAAATGTCGTAAAACGATGCAAAACTCATTTAACAAATGTTTCACTTAAGAGAAATGTTGGGCTCTATTGTGGTCGTAAGTCAAGGATTGTCTATAGTTTACTTCAGAACTTTTAAATCTGAATTTTGTTGGCCTTATCATAGTCTGGCACATCTCAACTTGGGGTGGCAGATCTCATATCTCCCCTCTTCCTGATGCAGAGAAGTATCCTTATTTTCTTCCATAAGACTTGGAGTTTATAATACTTTGGAAAATTACTGGAGTTACCTATACACAAGAAGCAAATATCATTTAGGGATCCAATTAGAAATTCAACAACATATCACTGATCCTCTTCTCCCATGAAATCATTTTAGAAAATGATTTGTGCTGTGCAGTTGTCACATCTGTTAAAGCTGGAATACAAGCAATTCTTAATTTTTACTTGTAATTACTATTAAGATTTCTAATATCTTTTCACTGCAAATGAAGAAGAAAATTTAAGCTCTGTTACTTGAAATCAATACAAGAAGTTTATTTTATGCAAACACAGAGAACTTTCTCATGATAGTTTGGGGGGAAAAAAAGTAGAATTGCCTGGAGAAGATATGAGTTTATTGAATTTTTTCACTTTACTGTTTCATAGGCTGTATCTTAACCAGATGCTATAAATCTGATTGCATCAACTTAGAAGTATATAAAATTTTATTTTAATGTTAAAAAGGCTACTAGCTTTGGTTCTTAGTTTCTTTTTTTCTTTTTTCCTGCACTTGAATTAGAGTACTGAAGGTAATACAAGATAACTTTAATAAAAACAGTTGGGTCTTATAGACTTAAATTTACTTATTCATTTTCTACATATATAGGGAAATTCTGGTAGGTATTCTTTAGGGTTGGTATAAAGCAATATACATTTTATTGAATGGGGGTGAAATGTCTATTAATGTAGCTGATATGGATATAAGAGTTCTGATAAATCATTTTACAGTGTTCAGAGTTACATTTTCTCAATTTTTTTTAAAGAAAGCATATTGTAGTCATTTTTAGTTTATTCTAGAAGTAAATAATATTGACACAGTCAGCTATCATTTTGTCAGAACCATTTTATCACTGCATCTAATGAAAATGTATGCCTTCAATTCTTTGTGTCTTGACCAGGAGCTTTTACATTTTGCTTTAAAGAAATATAAAACCCTACCAAAAAAAAAATTAAAGCCCCTGGTGGTAGAAATTAAACTCTAGACAAAATGAGACCAAAAAACTATGGAAGAAATTATTCTTCAAGAGCACATGGGTGGTACAAGATGCTAGTTTTGGGCACATAATGCTCAGCCATAATGCAAAATGTTTAGCTTTGGCATTTCAAGATATATTATCAAAGCCATTGTGATTACTTTCTCCTTTGGGATGCAGACTGATATATAAATAAAAGGAGAAAATGATTTGAAAACCATGGTTTATGGTTTAGTGGTCCATGCAAACCCAACCAGTTGAGATTTGATTAAGACACAAACCATAGCTTCCTGTGATATGCATGACAGGGCAAAGAAGCCCTAGTTAATGTTGTGAATGAACCATAATGATGGATGGATCTCCTGAACTAAAGTTTAGAGAGTAGAAAAAGGCAAACTCTTGCCAATGCCTAATTTTGGCCACCAGTATAATATAGAGGAGATGACTAGGGCTTGCTTAGAATGTCCTTTTATTTTTGGGCTGAAAGAATAATGTTAAAATTCTCTAATCTAGCATGTGCATCCACCAGACCTTGTTGATTTTGCTAGAATGATAAACATGGTATCACGCTCTGCTTTTGTATGTGCATGTGATATCATCATACCTGTAAAAAAAGATACAAAGCTTGCTTCATGGCACTGCATTTGTTATTCAACTCCCCCATGCCTTATGTACATAGTAAGGAAGATAACCTTGATGGAGATATGCAGGAACTATTATCTAAGGCAAAAGGAGCTGAAACATTTTTTTTTAAAAAATAGTTTTTATTAAACAGTTTTCTTCATTTTATATCACAATTTCGATCTTTACAGCATTCCGGTATCAGTATATCTCCTAAGTATGTACAAATTATTTTCATTATTCTTCCTTTCCTTTTGTGTACATATCTATTCTATACAATGTATCAATATTGCAATTACATACCTTTTATATTACCCTTTATTATCACATCTTAATTTACTTTTACATTCTTATTCTTTGCTTCTATTCTCTAACCAGTTAAACCATGTGTCCCAAATCAAATAGTATTCTGTTTCACTTCTTTCTTTTATTTCCATTGTTAGCCTGCCAATCTCCACACATTCTAACACTTTTTTAAAAATCACCATTTCATCCGAGGGAGTACTATCATTTTCCCAGTATTATGCATAGATGATTCTAGCTGCTGTTATTATGTGTAATATGATATAGTGAATTTTTTTATTATAATTTCCCCTTAATATACCTAATAAGAATAGTTCTGGTATTAGATCTATTTGTTGTTTAGTAATTTCCTCTAGCCAATTTCTTATCTTTGACCAGTATTTCCTTGCATCTGGGCATAGCCACCACATGTGGCAATATGTTCCTTGCCTCCTTTTACGGGGCTGCAACATTTTTGAAATCCAGACCAACACTATTATGTTGTGGGCTACAGTAGGCAAGAAGAGACAGCATAGATACAACAGCGTTTATTGACTCAACTGGAACTGCTGAACAACAGGCAAATTCCTGTAATTTATACTCAGGGCCCACAGGGCCTCAACCAATCATAATACTTGAAAAAGCTCGCCCAAATATGAATGTTCT